TCTGCTTTTCTACAACTCTTTCATCCTCAGACATTTACATCACTCTCACTTCCTGTCTTCAGTCCATGTTCACCTCTCGCAAAAAAACCCTACTGCAAAGAAGTTAAATATTCTTAGATAAAGTCAAATTGTCTTGATTCAAGAAAAATAAACCTGCCAAAATAATTAGCTAGATTTATTGTCTATTTTAAAAGTCGATCCACTGAAGATGATTCTACATCTCAATACATTTTATTTAAAGTTTTACAAAGTAGAAATAAAAACAGCAAAGTAACAATACATCGATAAAATCAACATTAAAAAGCATTTACAGGATGTAGAGGATTTATGAGACTGGAAGGGGAATGATCAGACTGAATATGTCAGTTTAAAAAGATGTGTTTAGAGATGAGATTTAAAAATGGAGAGAGTGTCAATACTACGGATGTGTGGTGGGAGGGAGTTCCAGAGCGGGGGAGGGGCAGACAGCTGAAGGCTCTGGACCCCCTGTGACAGGCGGGTGGTGCAGTGAGGTGAATAGAAAAGAAGACCTGAGAGTGGGGTGTTGATGTGTAGGATCAGAGAGATACAGAGGAGCGAGTTCTTTATCACTGAAATATTTCTGAAGAATACAAGTAATGAATAAACTAATCTGTTCTTAACAAATGACCAAGCTAGACAATTATGCATCGTAACAACATTCGTTCTGTATTCACAACGAGCGCTACACTAGCTGCTCTTTTTGAACCAATTAGACCATACTGCTGGGCAATAGTCAAGATTGGACAATATTAAAGCCTGGATTACCTGTTTTAGTTAAGTTTGTGTTCAAAATCTGGCACATCTTTTAATAACAGAAAGACCATTACCCATCTTAGCTACAACTTTATTATATGTCGAGTCCATGATAGTTGACTATCCAAGATCATTCCCAGCAGCTTAGTCTCTTGCACTTGGTCAATAGACACATTGTTTATACACAGATTTAAATTTGGTTCTCTGCTCAGAACATAATTCGACCCAAATATAATGCTGTTTGTCTTTGAGAGATTCAGGACCAATTTATTTTTCTTTATCCATTCAACCACTGATCGTAACTCTGAATATAAAACTGTGTTTAACTCATTGGCTGTGAATGCCAACATATATATAGTTGAATCATTAGTATACATTGAAATGTTGGCCTCATTTAAGACAAGTGGTAAGTTATTTGTGAAAATGGTGTAAAGCAATGGACCAACACAGCTTCCTTGTTGCACTCCCCACCTTACCTTTTTAACATCTGAATAGCTCCCAGTAAAACAAACAGTTTGGTTTCTGTTAGTTAAATAGCTCTCCATCCAAGATAATGCACATGTTGAAAAGACATAACATTCTAATTTTTGTATTAATAATTTGTGATCAATAATGTCAAATGCTGCTGTAAAATCAAGAAGGACAGCTGCCACCATTTTACTCTTCTATTTCTCTCAGCCAATCATCAGTCATCTGAGTCAGAGCAGTAGCTGTTGAATGCCCTTCTCTGTATGCATGTTGAAAGTCAGTGGTTAAATCATTCAAAGAGAAATAGCCTTTAATTTGTTCACTCACTGTTCTTTCCATTATTTTACTTAAAACAGGCAGTAAACTTATCTGACGACTATTTGATCCAGAGAATGGTAATTTCCCATTTTTGGGCAGAGGTATTATTTTGGCAATTTTCCATCCTTGTGGACATAAACCCTCACTAAGACTCTGGTTAATAATGTGACAAACTGCAGGGGCTATCAAATCAGCAACCATTTTAAGGAGTTTCCCATCAAGGCCATCAACACCTGCTGCTTTATTTTTACAAGTTATTAGCATGTTTTCTACTTTACTTGTACTTACTTTGTCAAATTTAAATTAACAATTTTTTCCTCCATAATTTGATTTTTAATTAATAAATAAGATAATTCATGATCTATATTTTGCATGTTGTCAGGGAGGAGGTAGAAGGGAGGAGGTGGGTTTAAGTCTAAGGAAGCTGTTCTCATTGTAAGCAATCAAAGGTCAGTTCTGAAAGCTAGACTTCCTTAAATTCAGTATTTTAGTCTCTTAATGAGCTGACTTTAAGAATGTATACGTTTAATCTAAGATTAATAATTAGTCAAAACAAATTCACAGAAAAATAGTGAATTTGTCTTAAATGAAGGTACAACAAGCATTCTTAATTTAAACATTTTTATTGAATCAACATTTTTGTTTTTCCTTCAGGCAGAATAAAAGTCATCTCCTTCCTCAGTCCCAATGATGACCAAAACAAACAAATATACCGTCCACAATATCAGATTTCATTTACTGCCAGTCTGATTCTGCACATCCATTTTAAAACTTGTGCTATCAGCTCCCGTCCAATCACCTGTAGCTCAAAGAGAGAGAGAGACACACGACAAAGACAAAGCTCATAATATAAGAGCCACAGTCATAACATGCTTCATTAACTACACTGAGTCCAGTATTCAGGACAAGAACACTTTTATAATCATCAGAGACAGAGGAAGGATTCCTGCTCTCTATGAACAAACTTTAACTTGTGTCCTTTTTGAACTTTCTTGAATCCAGAAGTTCTCTAAGTGGTCTTATCCTCAAAATAAAGAAAACCATCTTGTTCCTCTGCTGAGATATGATAAACCATTGTTGTAGCTCCTTTCAGGTTCAATCTAGCTCGATGTTAACCAGAATATCTAATTAAGTCAAAGTTAGATATACTGTATTTTATTAATATAAGCTTTTCTAATACTAAACATACTTAATAAGATGATATTCTTTTAAGTTATAGAATATGACTTGTAAAGTTATTTTCATGTGGGGGACACAGAAGAAGTCCTTTAACCAAACACCAATCCTGCCTCGTTCCACGTCGACAGCCTCGTCAACATCTGTTTTCAGTCCACAGTCTGTCCCTCACCTGCTCCTGTTTCCCAATAAACAGTCTGGCCCGGCTTGTTCATGGTTCTCTTTCAGAGGTCCAGCCAGTCTCCTGTTCCTACAGATCACTCTCTCAGGTTGTCCTTCTGCCCCCCTGGTGGCTACTGGTAGTATCTTCATGAACATCTGTCTGTAGCTAGCCTGAGTTCTTTCTCTCTGAAAATGCAGGTTGGACTTCTAACCTTTATTGTTCCTGGTGCATCTTTCTGAGCTGTGTTTATGTTTGAGTCTTCTTCTGTTAACTTTGATTCCATCAGTCTAAAGAATCTGAGGACAGACACAGTGTTGTCTGTATTCTGAGTGAGATACTGTTCTAATAGAAACAGAGAGAGCTGTGGAGAACTTCAGCTCTGCCTCCTGATCACTGATTATCCATCTGCTAGTTTGAACTGGAACAATCTGATTAAAAATGATCTTTGTTCTAAAAGCTTTCATTAACCAGCTGTTTGTTTGTATCAGGATGAAGAGACAGAGACCAGACTCTCCTGGACCCAGCTGTGTGTCCATGAAGAGTGATGACTCTAAAGATCTTATTATTCACTTTAAAGATGGACGTCCTGCTGATGGAAGGTGAGATGTGAAAGTGAAGTTAATGTTCTGACTCTGTTGTTTAAAGACTCATATCTTGTCTCAGAGCTTCATGATGTGTTGTAGGACTCATCAGTTTATTGTTTCAGCAGTGACATCACAGTGTTCACCAGTCAAAGAGTTGAGTGATCAGACTCATCATGATAAACCATATCACTGAGTTTGTGTTTCTTTAAATAGAAATCCAGTTTACAGAGTAGCAGCTGATTTCAAAGATGGAGCTTGATGAGCAGAGGTCATATTTTTTCTAATTATCCTCGGATCATTACAACAGAAAATAAAAGAATAGATCTTTAATGTCATTGCTATAAAAACAGTGAAAGGCAGTTTAGCAGCTCTTTGTCAGAGGCAGCACAGACAAAGAGCTCTGTTCTGCTTTTCTACAACTCTTTCATCCTCAGACATTTACATCACTCTCACTTCCTGTCTTCAGTCCATGTTCACCTCTCGCAAAAAAACCCTACTGCAAAGAAGTTAAATATTCTTAGATAAAGTCAAATTGTCTTGATTCAAGAAAAATAAACCTGCCAAAATAATTAGCTAGATTTATTTGTCTATTTTAAAAGTCGATCCACTGAAAGATGATTCTACATCTTAATACATTTTATTTAAAGTTTTACAAAGTAGAGATAAAAACAACAAAGTAACAATACATCGATAAAATCAACATTAAAAAGTATTTACAGGATGTAGAGGATTTATGAGACTGGAAGGGGAATGATCAGACTGAATATGTCAGTTTAAAAAGATGTGTTTAGAGATGAGATTTAAAAATGGAGAGAGTGTCAATACTACGGATGTGTGGTGGGAGGGAGTTCCAGAGGCGGGGGAGGGGCAGAGCAGCTGAAGGCTCTGGACCCCCTGGTGGACAGGCGGGTGGTGCAGTGAGGTGAATAGAAGAAGAAGACCTGAGAGTGCGGGTGGGTGTGTTGATGTGCAGGAGTTCAGAGAGGTACAGAGGAGCGAGGTTCTTTATCACTGAAATATTTCTGAAGAATACAAGTAATGAATAAACTAATCTGTTCTTAACAAATGACCAAGCTAGACAATTATGCATCGTAACAACATTCGTTCTGTATTCACAACGGAGCGCTACACTAGCTGCTCTGTTTTGAACCAATTAGACCATACTGCTGGGCAATAGTCAAGATTGGACAATATTAAAGCCTGGATTACCTGTTTAGTTAAGTTTTGTGTTCAAAATCTGGCACATCTTTTAATAACAGAAAGACCATTACCCATCTTAGCTACAACTTTATTTATATGTCGAGTCCATGATAGTTGACTATCCAAGATCATTCCCAGCAGCTTAGTCTCTTGCACTTGGTCAATAGACACATTGTTTATACACAGATTTAAATTTGGTTCTCTGCTCAGAACATAATTCGACCCAAATATAATGCTGTTTGTCTTTGAGAGATTCAGGACCAATTTATTTTTCTTTATCCATTCAACCACTGATCGTAACTCTGAATATAAAACTGTGTTTAACTCATTGGCTGTGAATGCCGACATATATATAGTTGAATCATCAGTATACATTGAAATGTTGGCCTCATTTAAGACAAGTGGTAAGTTATTTGTGAAAATGGTGTAAAGCAATGGACCAACACAGCTTCCTTGTTGCACTCCCCACCTTACCTTTTTAACATCTGAATAGCTCCCAGTAAAAAAAACAGTTTGGTTTCTGTTAGTTAAATAGCTCTCCATCTAAGATAATGCACATGTTGAAAAGACATAACATTCTAATTTTTGTATTAATAATTTGTGATCAATAATGTCAAATGCTGCTGTAAAATCAAGAAGGACAGCTGCCACCATTTTACTCTTCTATTTCTCTCAGCCAATCATCAGTCATCTGAGTCAGAGCAGTAGCTGTTGAATGCCCTTCTCTGTATGCATGTTGAAAGTCAGTGGTTAAATCATTCAAAGAGAAATAGCCTTTAATTTGTTCACTCACTGTTCTTTCCATTATTTTACTTAAAACAGGCAGTAAACTTATCTGACGACTATTTGATCCAGAGAATGGTAATTTCCCATTTTTTGGGCAGAGGTATTATTTTGGCAATTTTCCATCCTTGTGGACATAAACCCTCACTAAGACTCTGGTTAATAATGTGACAAACTGCAGGGGCTATCAAATCAGCAACCATTTTAAGGAGTTTCCCATCAAGGCCATCAACAGCTGCTGCTTTATTTTTACAAGTTATTAGCATGTTTTCTACTTTACTTGTACTTACTTTGTCAAATTTAAATTTACATTTTTTTCCTCCATAATTCGATTTTTAATTAAGAAATAAGATAATTCATTATCTATATTTTGCATGTTGTCAGGGAGGAGGTGGAAGGGAGGAGGTGGGTTTAAGTCTGAGGAAGCTGTTCTCATTGTAAGCAATCAAAGGTCAGTTCTGAAAGCTAGACTTCCTTAAATTCAGTATTTTAGTCTCTTAATGAGCTGACTTTAAGACTGTGTTTAATCTATGATTAATAATTAGTCAAAACAAATTCACAATGAGAAGAAATAGTAAATTTGTCTTAAATGAAGGTACAACAAGCATTCTTAATTTAAACATTTTTATTGAATCAACATGTTTGTTTTTCCTTGAGGCAGAATAAAAGTCATCTCCTTCCTCAGTCCCAATGATGACCAAAACAAACAAATATACCGTCCACAATATCAGATTTCATTTACTGCCAGTCTGATTCTGCACGTCCATTTTAAAACTTGTGTGGCTGTGGGTCAGTTGGTAGAGTCATCGCATGTGAACCGGAAGGTTGAGGGTTCAATCCCCAGCTGAGCAACATGTCCAATTGTCCACTCAGTGATGGTGTATGAATGGGATTAGTTACTTGTGATGGATGATACTACATAGTGATCACTACCATCAGTCTATTATCTAGTAGTAGTAGTAGGCATCACTTGTGCCATCAGCTCCCATCCAATCACCTTTAGCTCAAAGAGAGAGAGAGACGTGACAAAGACAACAGCACCAACCCTCAGCAGGGTGGTAGAACAATTTACACTGACACACATTTCAATAAGAAAGCTCATAATATAAGAGCCACAGTCATAACATGCTTCATTAACTACACTGAGTCCAGTATTCAGGACAAGAACACTTTTATAATCATCAGAGACAGAGGAAGGATTCCTGCTCTCTATGAACAAACTTTAACTTGTGTCCTTTTTGAACTTTCTTGAATCCAGAAGTTCTCTAAGTGGTCTTATCCTCAAAATAAAGAAAACAATCTTGTTCCTCTGCTGAGATATGATAAACCATTGTTGTAGCTCCTTTCAGGTTCAATCTAGCTCAATGTTAACCAGAATATCTAATTAAGTCAAAGTTAGATATACTGTATTTTATTAATATAAGCTTTTCTAATACTAAACATACTTAACAAGATGATATTCTTTTAAGTTATAGAATATGACTTGTAAAGTTATTTTCATGTTGGGGACACAGAAGAAGTCCTTTAACCAAACACCAATCCTGCCTCATTCCACGTCGACAGCCTGGTCAACATCTGCTTTCAGTCCACAGTCTGTCCCTCACCTGCTCCTGTTTCCCAATAAACAGCCTGGCCTCGGCTTGTTCATGGTTTTCTTTCAGAGGTCCAGCCAGTCTCCTGTTCCTACAGATCACTCTCTCAGGTTGTCCTTCTGCCCCCCCTGGTGGCCACTTGTAGTATCTTCATGAACATCTGTCTGTAGCTAGCCTGAGTTCTTTCTCTCTGAAAATGCAGGTTGGACTTCTAACCTTTATTGTTCCTGGTGTCATCTTTCTGAGCTGTGTTTATGTTTGAGTCTTCTTCTGTTAACTTTGATTCCATCAGTCAAAAGAATCTGAGGACAGACACAGTGTTGTCTGTATTCTGAGTGAGATACTGTTCTAATAGAAACAGAGAGAGCTGTGGAGAACTTCAGCTCTGCCTCCTGATCACTGATTATCCATCTGCTAGTTTGAACTGGAACAATCTGATTAAAAATGATCTTTGTTCTAAAAGCTTTCATTAACCAGCTGTTTGTTTGTATCAGGATGAAGAGACAGAGACCAGACTCTCCTGGACCCAGCTGTGTGTCCATGAAGAGTGACCAGTCTAAAGATTTCTATACTGTCTTTAAAGATGGACGTCCTGCTGATGGAAGGTGAGAATTGAAAATGAAGTTAACATTCTGACTCTGTTGTTTAAAGACTCATATCTTGGTTCAGAGCTTCATAATATATGACGCATTGTTTTCTTGTGTCACAGAGTTCAACAGGAGAGCTCCGAGGTTTACAGAGATCAATCAGACCAGCAGAATCCAACAGACCTGGACTCCATCTTTATGGTCTGCTCAACACACTGTTATATAATTTACTACCATTACAATAATTTAATGCTAAGTTATTGTTCTGTTTAGACCAGCTGACCTTCAGACTGACAGATGAATCACATGTTGAGTTCTACCAGTTTATATTAAATATCCAGTGTCTCCTTCTGTTCCAGCTGCTGGAGGAGAACATCGTCACCTTTGTGAAGAACGAGCTGAAGAGAGTCCAGAGGGTTCTGAGTCCAGATTACCCAGAATGCTTAGAGAGTCAGAGTGAGGATGAAGAGCAGAGAAGAAGCTGTAAAGAGGATTTTCTGAAGATCACTCTCCACTTCCTGAGGAGAATGAAGCAGGAGGAGCTGGCTGACTGTCTGCAGAGCAGTAAGAACATTTTAACAGATTTAGCATTTTAGAAAAAGGACAAAACGGTTTAAAGTTCCAAACTCAGATAGTCATGTGATCTATATCAGGATCTGTTCAGTGATTTCAGTTCTTTCTTTATTCAGGAACTGTCGCTGCAGTGTGCCGGCATAACCTGAAATCTAACCTGAAGGAGAAGTTCCAGTGTGTGTTTGAGGGGATTGCTAAAGCAGGAAACCCAACCCTTCTGAAGCAGATCTACACAGAGCTCTACATCACAGAGGGAGGGACTGGAGAGGTCAATGATGAACACGAGGTCAGACAGATTGAAACAGCATCCAGGAAACCAGACAGACCAGAAACAACCATCAGACAAGAAGACATCTTTAAAGCCTCACCTGGAAGAGATGAACCAATCAGAACAGTGATGACAAAGGGAGTGGCTGGCATCGGGAAAACAGTCTTAACACAGAAGTTCACTCTGGACTGGGCTGAAGACAAAGCCAACCAGGACATACAGTTCACATTTCCATTCACTTTCAGAGAGCTGAATGTGCTGAAAGAGAAAAAGTTCAGCTTGGTGGAACTTGTTCATCACTTCTTTCCTGAAACCAAAGAAGCAGGAATCTGCAGGTTTGAAGAGTTCCAGGTTGTGTTCATCTTTGACGGTCTGGATGAGTGTCGACTTCCTCTGGACTTTAAAAACAACCAGACCCTGACTGATGTCACAGAGTCCAGAGAGTCAGTGGATGTGCTGCTGACAAACCTCATCAGGGGGAACCTGCTTCCCTCTGCTCGCCTCTGGATAACCACACGACCTGCAGCAGCCAATCAGATCCCTCCTGAGTGTGTTGACAGGGTGACAGAGGTCAGAGGGTTCACTGACCCACAGAAGGAAGAGTACTTCAGGAAGAGATTCAGAGATAAGGAGCAGGCCAACAGAATCATCTCCCACATCAAGACATCCAGAAGCCTCCACATCATGTGCCACATCCCAGTCTTCTGCTGGATCACTGCTACAGTTCTGGAGGATGTGCTGAAGACCAGAGAGGGAGGAGAGCTGCCCAAGACCCTGACTGAGATGTTCATCCACTTCCTGGTGGTTCAGTCCAAACTGAAAAACATCAAGTATGATGGAGGAGCTGAGACAGATCCACACTGGAGTCCAGAGAGCAGGAAGATGATTGAGTCTCTGGGAAAACTGGCTTTTGAGCAGCTGCAGAAAGGAAACCTGATCTTCTATGACTCAGACCTGGCAGAGTGTGGCATCGATATCAGAGCAGCCTCAGTGTACTCAGGAGTGTTCACACAGATATTTAAAGAGGAGAGAGGACTGTACCAGGACAAGGTGTTCTGCTTCATCCATCTGAGTGTTCAGGAGTTTCTGGCTGCTCTTCATGTCCATCTGACCTTCATCAACTCTGGAGTCAATCTGATGTCAGAAGAACAAACAACATCCAGGTCTGAAGTATCAAGAGAAAAACCTGACCCAACACTTTTATATCAGAGTGCTGTGGACCAGGCCTTAAAGAGTCAAATGGACACCTGGACTTGTTTCTCCGCTTCCTCCTCGGTCTTTCTCTAGAGACCAATCAGAATCCATACGAGGTCTGCTGACACCCACAGGAAGTGGCTCACAGACCAATCAGAAACAGTCGAGTACATCAAGATGAAGATCAGTGAGGATCTGTCTGCAGAGAAAAGCATCAATCTTTCCACTGTCTGAATGAACTGAATGATCGTTCTCTAGTGGAGGAGATCCAACAGTCCCTGAGATCAGGACGTCTCTCCACAGATAAACTGTCTCCTGCTCAGTGGTCAGCTCTGGTCTTCATCTTACTGTCATCAGAAAAAGATCTGGACGTGTTTGACCTGAAGAAATACTTGCTTCAGAGGAGGCTCTTCTGAGGCTGCTGCCTGTGATCAAAGCTTCAAACAAAGCTCTGTATGTGTCCACATGACTATCCAGGTTTAATGTAGTTCTCTTTATTCAGAAATAATAACTATGGTTTTTAATTGCTTTCATTTGTTCTTCTGAATCCTCTTCAGGCTGAGTGCTGTAACCTCTCAGAGAGAAGCTGAAGCTTGTCCTCAGTCCTCAGCTCC